ATATTGCTATGTAATGTACATTTTGAGATCACACTCTACATGTAAAAGTATTAGTTAGCTGTTTAGCTAATTCTTTTAGCTCAGTCTGTAGAACGTTGCATTTTTAAGTTCGTTTTCTTCTCACGGCTGTAATTTTAGGATATTACCGTTCCATTTGTTTATCAGATGTGTACCGGATTATTTATTAATGAAATAAGAGTTTCTGAAATTTGTTATACTAAACTATGGGTAATCTTTTGTCTATTGCATAGTGAATCAATTACTTTATCTCAAAATATCAAAACATATGTCTAAATAATATAATTTACTTTATGCAAATGGGGAGACATGTTTTCAATGCTGTCCTTGGAATTGCTTTATAGAGGACTAACAAACTCAGAAAAAGCGAAATAGGTATTAGATTTGTGGAATCTTAAACGTATTGATGACAGGCTCCCAATATTATTAATTAGTAGCTTAATATTACAGACAAGCACTTAATCGCTGGATAATAAAGATTGAGCTACATTATGATTTTGGACACATTTAAGATTTAAGTCATAAATGCTGAATAATGCTGTCCACCTGGTGTTCTCTCTGTTGCACTTGCAATATATTATCGAATAATATTTATAAATTTTGTGTACTGCTTTATTTGTTCTTGCATGAAAATTTTTTGGATTGGCTAAAAATCAAACTATAGGGACATAAATAATTGTAAAATGATTCAATTACTATAACACACACCAAAGTGATACTATGTGTTTATTCTACATTTTACGGTTATTTCGGTCTCAGTTTGAACCAATTTCTACTTCAGTTAGATTTTACATATTTACATATCCATTTTTTTTTCTTTCCAATTAGTAATACTACTTTCCAAAACATTAGCATACTACTTTCCAAAACATTAGCATATACCTTTTCAAGTAATTAAATGAATGGAGTCCCACCAGATTGTTAGAAACATCAAATATGTGTATTTGCACTCACTATCAAATATTGTTAACATATTCCGTTCAAGAAGTGTATCTTTTGCTATTTTCTTCTGGGATATCTATTTTATCCTTTTTTATCTTTGATTTCCTTTCATATTTTTTGTGTTTTAAGTTGGTGCTATATACACATGTACATGTATTTCTAACTTCAGAGCTGTCAGAATATCATAGACACTCTAATATCATTAAAGTTCCAGAGTATGTTTCTATTATGCACGTTATAAACTACGTAAAACGTTTTTGATTTCAGTATTGGTTGCTTATATGTTATTATGTTATGGCTCTTCAGCATACCCCTACAATATTGACAGGTATGTATACAAGAATGACAGAGAAGAGGTTGAAATACCGTTATTTTTGTTTTTATTAAAAGTGCAATCCAGCTAATGAAACAAATGTAAGGTGACTTTAGATGGGTGTGTGTTACTTTTTTTAAGTATTAAGTATTAGGAGAAGCATCAAACAGAGATTTTGAAGCTGTTGAATGTTTCATGTTGAAATGTCATTTTCAAAAACACTGTTAGAGAGATAGATTTAAAGTTTATTGCTGCTTGATTTTCCGAAGAAATATACATGTATATATTTTAAAATCTATTTCTAAACATTTCCGTTTTAAGAATTTTTTTTTTAAATCAAAGCCAAGTAATTCAATCATTTTTTTCTTCAGAAGGTACAATAGGAAAAGGCTTAGATACATTAAATTACCCCCCCCCCCAATCCCTTTCACTCTGACAATTAATTAGAAATAATGAGATCTTTTCCTGAGCTGCAAAATGAAGCTCAAGGATACATGTATAAATATAAAACGCATATATACATTCATTTTGTCAATTTATTGTCTTGTATTTCTTAAGGACGTCTAGGGTTTTTTTTCCTGTTGAAATAATGAAGAAATTGAACCTTGCAATGAATCCTTTGGATCTTTGTAACTTTCCAAATTGATTATCAAACATATCGTTAAAATATCATTACAATATGAAAACAGTTAATCTTTTTCATAAAAAGTGTGGGAAAGAGTCGCCATCAGTTTCTCCTTTACCTTTCAGTGAAGTTTGTGTCAACAGGCCCTTAATGTTTGCAATGGGTAAAAAAGCATGCAATTTTACGTTATCAGATGCAAGAATGCGACTGGAATCAGGTAATCCATTATATTTCAATTTATGCTGTGCACTTATCTATGAAAAAAAAATATAAACATCGCACTATATGATAATTTTTTTTATGTCATACTAGATATCTATCATCCTGTTCCATATATATCGACTCAAAAAAATAATTAAATAATGTATCATTTTTAAATATTGGGGGGGGGGGGGGATCTACTTCCCCATTTGTATTGATATATAAATCATGAAAAATGAAAACCTATCAAAATAGCCTTGGAATAACATGTAAACAAGACAGTTTAATTGAGTAGTATACCATCTACAAATTTCATTCAATATTATTTCTACTATTTCTGCACTCCTTCATTTTATTCCACAGATGAGGGAAACTGTGTTCAGAAATGTCAAGTAAAAATGAAAAACCTCTTCATTGGATATAGGTATCATCTGACATATATAGATCTTAGTTTCAATGGATTAAGAGAGAATATGGCTGATTTCACTAGTAGTTGCAGCAATTATTTTGGATATTGGATTTGGGGCAGAACTTTAGAAATTACATGCAAAACGAATAAAGACAGTGGTGAGTTTCTTATTCTAAAGCAATTAATTGAGTCGTGTACTTTTCATTCTATTTTCATACCCATGCGATAATATCTGTCAAACTGAGGCATTCTGTTAGAAATGAATTGTATGGTCTTTTAAAAAAAACTATCTTTGTTAGTCAAGTATGCAAATTATTATGTAAGACAGGTTATCGAAAAGATTAAAGGGCTTTCTATAAGGCAACTTCAAGTTATAGATTAGATATTACCGTTAAATCGCAACCTTCACAAACTAGTATTTCATTTGATTTCGGCCATATAGTTTACAATCAAAACCTTTATGGGGGAAAAATAGTGGAAGGACACTTTTAACATGAATTTGAGTTTTAAATCTATATAAAAATACATGTATGTCTGGAATTCCAGCTTTTAATTCATGAGTGCCTATTCCTGTTGATTGCTTAAGTTTTACCGGTTCCTGTGCTCGTAAATATGAAGAGAATGGGCTTGATTAAAAAAAAAATGTAAATTCAGGAGTGGGTCTTTTAAAATCATACAGAATGAAAATTAATCATAATGACTCAGAAAAAAAGCATCTATCCAAAGTCAATTACAAGATATTTGCAAAAACTTTCAACTTTACTTTTCATTTAATAATGATTTATATTCAAACATATTATTTCATTATGCAATATGTATTGATTTAGGTTTTATTCATGCGTGATATAGATGTGTCTTTTTTTTAAAACAGATCTCTCAAAAGATTTGTGTACATTAACTAAGGAGTGTAAAGAGGAATCCAAGTCATGTTTATTGACGGGAAATACCGGCATCTGTGTATGTAAACCTGGGTATATAACATTCGAAACTGAATGTTTAAAGGGTAAATGCTTACATTATTACGTTAACTTTATTGTTATTAGAAGGTTTTAATAAGCTGCAAACACGTTAATTGATTCTCAGCAACACTTTCACATTAATAATCATAGTTTTGTTTATAAAGGATACCGTTACAAAAACATATTACTTTATAATTATATTTTTAAAGGCAATTTGAAACTACATGAAAAATGCAAGAGAAATGAGCAGTGTTCTATTGCATCCGGTTCTATTTTCAGAATGATACATGTGTCTGTAGCCGTGGATATGCCCCATTATTTACATTTGCAAATATTTTTCTTAGATGAACCTATTGAAGAGAAAATATGTTCAATTCTGTATGAACTTATTAGGGGGTCAGAGGTCATGGCGTGACCGAATCAACAGCGAGACGATATCTTGTCTACGTATTTCTGTCACAGTGACACTGGTTTCGGAACTTCTAAGCCGTTAAAGCGATGAAAAAGACAAAATTATTGAAACATTTTTTTCGTTTAACAAATGATCATTAGATCTTTCTTCGGTGTGAAGAATGTTTCTAATTAGCCTAAAATCACGCTTACCTTTTCAACCCGAAATTCCTTTGAAGGTATGTAAACTGAAGACGATAGCACCGCTTTTGACTTCATATATAAAGAACTCATACAATAATAGTACGATAATTCCCAGTAGCGATCATTGTTTTTTCATTATGAACAGAAATTTCCTGAACTGGACTGCTGAACATCAATGTAAGTATTCAAATGTTGGAGCGAGGGGAACTCTCAAGACCAAACAGCTTCTAGGTCATTGCGCGTCACAACATAGTTATACGGCGGGCCGTTCGTGTAATAAATGCAGTTCTATCCAAAATATTCGTCCCAAATGTAAATAAAAGTAATAAACAACAATGTTAAAAAGTTCACTGGGAAATGAACTTGGTTGGTACGTGATCAAATTTCTTCACAGGATTTGATCACGTGACCAACCAAGTTCATTTCCCAGAGAAATTTTTTACATTGTTGTTTATTTCTTAATTAAATGATTCCGATTGCTTTCCGTGTAGGCGTCTTTAAATCAAGTTACTTGTTCAATAATTCAATAACCCTGTAATATAATAACCCTCTAATACTGATAATTCTGTGAATAATATTAACTTTGCCAACAATGACAAAAATTAAGTTTACTTTACTGTTTCTTTTTATTTATGGACAATAACATATGCCTTTCTAGTATACATCTCAAAAGATTTGTGTTCATCGACTAAGGAGTGTGAAGATGTGTCTAAGACATGTTCCTTGACGGGACAAGTCGGCGTTTGTGTATGCAAAAATGGATATATAGGATTTGGAAACATATGTTTGAAGGGTAAACAATAGCAAGTGCATTAAAATTATATGATTTTTACATGTAAAACAAAAGAAACTATTTCAAAACTTTGTAGATTAATTAAATCGTATTCCGTAAGATTTGTATATCTGAAAACTTTTAATAATGAGTTTTTGTCTTTTCAGGCAGTTTGAAACTAAATGAAGCATGTCAGCGAAATGAGCAGTGTTCCGTGGCATCTGGGTCTGTTTGCCAGAACGGTATATGCGTCTGTAGTCTTGGTTATGCCCAATTGAATAATTCCAAATGTATTCTGTGTAGGTTCATTTTTATCTACTTATAAGTCACTTTTTAAAACAATTTGCTTAATGAATACGTGTACGTCTCATTGATTCTTATAAAGCAATAAACGAATCAAAAATTGTACTCATAAATATAATTTATATCACAATTATTTTTTTATATTAGAGCAAATACCTGTTATTTTGTTTAAAGGGTCTCTTTGGGTTGAGGAAACAAAAGTATACAGTCATGTATTCCTATTCAAAACTAAAAATCAGGGGAAAATGATATCAGAAATAACTCACTTCTTGGTTAATCCAAATCTTTATTGTCCAAGTTTTTTTTAATGTGAGACTTTTTTTTTTCAATTTTGGAGATTTGTTTCCTTAAACTATCGAAAGGTTTCTATATTAGAAATTGAGCATGGACCCTCATGTCCTCAAACTATTGTTTTCCCAAACCGTCCTTTTGGCAAAGTCGTCTTACAAGAAAAAACATTTATAAACACATAATTTCGTGAAGGGATTTATTGCAAATCTGCAAATCTCCTTAATTTTGTTTTCAAATCAATACTGTATTGTCATGAAAACTACGTTTTTGAAAAGTATGTCCATACTGTGTTACGTTTCACCTTCTTTTACTATGAATTTGGTGATTGTAACTTGTGGGTCTCCCAAGTCTGTATATCAGATAGAGATAGAAATATAATACCAAATTACGTTTTGTACAAAACTTTTATTAAATAAATTTACTTTGTCAAGGATGGATTACTGAGCGATGATAATTTATAAAAGTACTTACTTCCAATACATCAATAAGAATGGGATTTCAATATACTATATATAAAGTTTTTCCCAAATGTGGGAATACCCAAAATATTTTCTGTAGTTAAACTTTTCAAAATAAACGAATTTAATTAACAGGCATCAGTTACCAATGCTAAAAAATTAATTGGGTAAATCAATCAATTAATTAATTACCCATCTGCTTTGGGTTTCCATGTTCCAAACATTTTCAGCAGTCCTCGTCAAATGAGGTAATGAGCAGAATGCTGCAGATGACCTGTTTATATCGTATTTCGTTCCTAGAGAACAGACGTACGATCCGCTCTCCTTTCCTGCAATTAGATCTGCACCGGAAGTTTATTACGCTAATCGATGTAGTAAAAACAATACAAGATCCGCGGGAATTAGGATCATGTCATTTGGAGGATCATACGATTATTTATAATGTCGGAATAACATAAAGAGAAGGTTATTTTATAATTTACAAGATTATGTTGATAGGTAGCGTCTGTTTGATATGAGAATTATTTGTTATCTTAACGTTCCCAACTAATGGAGGAAACTCGGAATGACCACATAGTGACATTAAATATCAAAATCATTAATCGTAACATTGAATAAAAAAAATATTTTCACACTAAATTGTCTACGGATTTTCCCGTTTACCCCCTCATGACAGAGAGCACAAAGCAGATTTGACCGGTACACAGGGGATGCTTACTCCTCGATGGCATCTGTTCCTATTTCTGATGATTTTAGATTGCCATGTTTTCTCTGCTCCAAATGTGTTGTTCCAATCGACTTTTGAGTTTGACTACTGTTTGTTTTCTTCATATTTCATCAATATTAAAAATGTTTAAATTCTTTCACTGTCACCTGAGAACAAATCTCAATCAACTCTCCTGGAGCAGAAAGGTATCCAAATTTACAGTATCATACATTCAGTTATGTTTGGTCAATGTTAAATCGACAAAAAATATATTAAATCAAAGATATAATCTCCACTAAGGAACACTTTTTTCACATTTGATTAAGTATTTTAAGATAAATAACGTTTTTCCAAGAATTGTCAAAACACTTCATAATAAGTTTCTGTTATAAACATGCAGTCAAAAACCTAGACGGTGTGACAGTTGGAATTGTTTTTGGTGGACTTATCCTATGCATTATCTTAACTGCTATTGCAGTAACCATATTTCATAAAGGACGACATGGGAAAACAAAAACTGAAGAAGAATATGACACATTTCAGTGCCTTTTGTTCATTTTTATCAAATCTTCATATCTCAAAACATGCATTATAAAAGTTTTTAATATATATCAATATCTTTCAATATTTATCAGAGAATGCCCAGAAATTGCATTGTTTAACAACACTACATACGGGACTAACATAGAGGCAGTTCAAAACAATCAGTCAGCGCACCGTACAAGTGAGATATATACAGTGAAAATATATATATATATATATATATATATATATATATATATATATATATATATATATATATATATATATATATATATATATATATATATATATATATATATATATATATATATATATATATACTGGACTTTGACCCGTGCGTGCACGGGTTGACATTGTTATGAATGCATCCATGTACATATCGGACATTTACCAAGGGTATCCTAAGTAGGAACTTGAAAGTACTTCTTGCTGCAATAATGAAGCCTTTTCCTGGGGGTGGGGTGGGTGGGGATGGGGGTTACAACTCTTTTTGGATCATACAATATCATTTCCATTTTTTTATTGAAATCATACAATGTATTCAGAAACATTTTAAAATAAATGTTTTGATGTAATTATTCAGAGCATAATTTTTTTCAAAATATTTAGTAAAGTCTGAGTTTACCGCAAACTTTAAAGTTTACTGACCTTGACCGATTTTATTTTGGGACAGCCAATGAGAATTTGGGAGCGGATCTTGAACTGAATATGGGAATTTTTCTTACTTCATACGTAAAAAATGCAGCAAAAATAAAATACATACTTCATAAACATTTATATATCTGTTTAGTGATAACAAAAGTTAATCTACTGCAGTATTAAACGTTTGCAATCAAAAGTCATTACATCACATGAGAACTGTCATGGCTGCTGAAGAAGACAACTTGATTTCACGCTGGTGTATTTTTTCTTGTGGCGATTTAATAAAACGTTAGTTTGTTTGCTACGATTAAATATAATTCATTTCATCAATGAATAAATATTTTTTTATGATCTTAATTTTGTCCCACCTCATAGTTTTGAGATTTACTATGCATGGGTTATATTTTACAAATGATCGATATTTTAGCAGCATTGATAGAATGAACTGTACGGGCCGCAAGGGCTGACTTCAGACTACCTATTAAGCTTAGTTATCACGATAACCTTTACATATTTAGAAGAACAGTTAGGCTGTCCCTTCTATATAACGTACTGAAGATCAATAACAATAATTTACATATTTCTCCCACTTTTTTTAAAGTTAAAGAAATTTTTGGAGGTGAATTTAAATATAAACAATAAAATACTTTCTTTGATGGTTCACGTGACATTGCAGAAAAAATTACATAATCCGCTAATACGGGTTACATATTGTTGTTGTTTTTTTCTGTAATGCTACTTTTATGCTAGTGTCATGCATATCTCACATGAACCACTTAAGAAAGCATTTTATTATTTAAATAACAGCATGATACATATGCATGGACATACACGCGGACAAACAGGCAGGACAATAAACACAAAGGTATACATAAAAGACAGGAGGTACGTGTTGTTGACAACATGGCTATAGGATTTTACTGGTTATACCTGGGCCCCAGGTAACTCAGGGGGTGTTCACAGTATTGTTGACAGACCAGGGTCAGAGGTCATTACACAGTGTTACATGTATTTACATAACAAAGCTATCAGCCTACAATAATGCTATTGATTTCATTACAATCTCGTAAGAAATATAATGTGATTTTTTTGCATGGAATCAAATATTTCTTTGCCCTTAGTTTATGTTTCATATTTACCGCGTTATAAATCTCAGCAGTGAAGGTAATAGTAAACATGGCGAACAAATTCAAGTTGCAATCATTTAAACACATTTCAAATTGAAAATATTGGTTATATTGACGTTATTTTATTATTTCGATTTATTTCAAAGTTAAGAAATGGAAATAATGTTATTGTAATTTTTGGCGGAAGAAGAATGCCTACTTCACTAAGATGTGATTCTAGCTGGAGTTGTAACACACACATTCCCCCCCCCCCTTCCCATCAAAAAAGCATCAAAGAAAGGAAGGATAAAATAAAATCGGGTAGTTACATTACATAAATTACAATTAATAAATGTGTCTCCGAGATGGCGAATGATTACCCACGTGGCCACAATATCACATTTGCATGGATAAACTCAAACACGATAAATAAATACAAAAACGTGTAAATTTCCATTGGAAATTTGCTATATATTCTGTTCAAATATATTTATGATTTCTTATCAGAGAAAAAAGAAAGTACGGTTTTAGCTTCATTGTGCCCTAAAAATTCAATGTTTTTGAAAGAGTTTTGAAACTGACTTAAATATTAGATTGGTATATGACTGTGATAAATCAGGAAAGAATATGACATGAAGGAGTACCATTTTGGAAATATGACGTCATTAATTTGATGCATTCTCTATTTTAAACAGAAAAAGCCTCAAAATGACTAATTTCAAGGGTTATTTTCCTCAAGAAAATAGTGTCATCCCCGTCGCCCACCTTAATTTTCGGATATGTTGTGTAAAATTCTTTGAAATATCACATATCTCAAAATCTTTGTGGGCGATGCCTGTGGACAATATTATCTGAAAGAAAATTCTATTGAAAAGTGGTGTCTTCTGCAACTTTTTAGGAAAATACGGGAAAATGCCCAAGTTTATGACGTCACAATTAGCATTTAGAAGGTCATGTGAGAAAAATGATTTGTATGATCTTTATGCATGGAATTTCAATGATTCAGAAAGCATATGTTTTAATTTTTTACATCACTTTCATTTTTAAGAAAAACACAGGGGTAAAATTTGTATTGAAACCGTACCTTGTTCGAGGTCGATCCATAGATATATCGACTTCACAGAAAAGCATATTGACTGAGCACGAAGTGTGAAGTCGATATGCTTTTCTGTGAAGTCGATATATATATATATATATAT